GAAAGGGGACTGCTTCTGAAAGTAGGAAGAACCGTGGGATAAGTGTTTTCAAACCATAGGAGCAGAAGTATTTTCAAGGAGATTAATGACAATGTGTCTTTTGCTATAATACATTTTTTAAAAGTTAAACACATATATTTTGATCACACCTAAGATAAATTTTTTCTTTTTTTCTTTTAAAGAGAAAAGAAAACAAAATAACAAAGACAAAAACAAAACCAACACAAAAACAATAAAAATGATACAGAATTTCAAAATAAAGTGATAGAAAGTTAACAATGGCTGTTATGTTACATATTGTTACCATCAACAAAGTTGCTCAGATTACTAGATGTAAGAATGCAAGATTTATCAAACAATTAAAGTGAATAAAAATAATAAAAAACATTACATTTTAATTATACCTGCAAAAACCCTTTTGCCATGACACAGCATGTTCATAAGTTCAAGTTTGGGTATATTTTGGGGGCATTCTGCCAACCACATTCACTTCAGGGACATTTTCCCATTCTTTGAGAGTTAGGAGCACTGCTGTGTGTTGTTGGGTATCTTCTCAGACTGCCCAGGAATATTGCAAATCCCCCTTCTTCATTCAGCTCTAAAATTTTCCTTGTATCTCTTATCATTGCATTCATTGAACTATTCTCTCCCTACAAATCTCCAAAGGTAGACTACGAACTGACATACTTACTCATCTGCACGTTCGCACAACTAAAATCATGTCCAGCAGTCAATGAATATCTCAGTTTATTCTTGAGTTAACATGTACCTTATTCCATAGACCCTGAGGGTAGTGATGTTGCCTACTTACAAATAAAATTTTTTTCATCTGAAAAAATTTATTTATTTATTTGGTCTTTTTGAAACAGGGTCTCACTATGCAGTTCAGGCTGGCCTGGAGTCACTCTGTAGTCCGGGATGGCCTTGAACTTGCAACAATCCTCCTGCCTCAGCCTCCCGAGTGCTGGGATTACAGGTGTGCACCACCACACCTGGCTCATCTGGGAAAATTTAAAGAGAAAGACTTACGATAAAGGAATAGCAGGCACAGAATTGTAATAAATCCGTGTGTACTGAGCAAGACTCAGGTGATTTCTTGATCTCTTTCCATGAGGATCATTATGACTGTGACAAGACCTAAGAGTGTACTAAGTGTGCACTGCATCTTTTTGCCCATTTGTTTATTTTTGAACGTGATTCTTAAAAACCCACTGCATTTTCATTCCAGTTAGGAACACAAGGCATGTGAAAAGTGCTATGTAAAACCAATTTTCTCATCATCTTCACTGAGTTGGCTTGTGTGTAAGTTTCTATTCCTTTTGGATGTATCTGATAGTGTTTTCTTAAAATAAGTTGTTCAAACTAATCTAAGTGTTTATTGTTATTATCCTAAAGGTCATGTCTATTTCCTTTCGTCTTACCTTTAGGACTCAATGTTGGGACTTAAGTGTAACAACTAATCTCTATTGAATGCTGTAAGCATAATTCTTTTAATGCACTATCCCCTTTAATAAACCCAATTTTTCTGTGATATGTGTTTATTACCTAGTTACAGGTGGAAAACATGAACTTGCATGTGGGTTAGGAACTTTCTCAAGTGGTAAAACCTAGGATCAAATTTAGGCGCATCCATTGCCATCCTTTATCAACTACTCCTTAGTACCTTGGTTGCCTCCCTCTCAGTGATTCAATAAGCATTTGTGAGGAATGTAGCACAGAGCAATGTCCTCAGTGCCTTCTTAACCAAGGCAAATATTTCCTATGATTTAATTCATGATCATATTCTCTGTGTGTTCAGCCATAGTGTACCAGTGCTTTTATGCTTGATGTCAATTTTATGGATGATTCAGGTGAGCATTTCACCTGTCCTAATAAATTAAAGTGCTGAAATCCATTTACATGGGGCTTGAGCTCTCTTCTTAGGATTCAACATTTTTTATGAATATTGATCATAAGTGTATAGTAGAAAAGCCATATAAAGAAGGAGAAGACTTAGATTTAACTATATTTTGCCACTAAAAATTATGTAAATTTGTTTTTTTTTTCCACTCTTTAGACTTTAGTTACTTCTGTGAAATGAAAAGCTAGATGCGGTGTTCTTGCAGGTCCCTTGTCATTCTGATCTTTCATAGACAAACATTCTCCTGTGAGAGAGAAAATGCTCCATCGGGAAGGTAGAGAGCAATGCTGACGTTGTTTATTCCCAGAAGTCCAGGAAAACCTGAGCTGATAACATCTTAAGGGACTTCCTGAACGTCACCATATATTGCTCAGGAAAGGGGGCGGCAGAGATAACTGGGGGCTATGGGCAGGACATGCAGGGCCCCAGCACTGCCCGTCCTCTCTCTTCACCTCCCATTCCTAGAACTCTGTGAGGTGGGTAAGTTGAAGTGTCAGATGCTCCAAATTCAGCCCTAAGGCACTCTGCCCTTAGTTTAGAATGTCTGAGTTTTATAATGAACAATCTGAAGAAGGAAGTCCCTTCCTAGTGTAATTCTTCTCTTTTTTAACAAGCATGTCTTTTTCCTTTGTCACTTTCACAGTTCTGTATTTTCTGCCTCTAGCTCTTGAGCTCTGAAATTCCACTATGCCTTCTGCTTCACATGTTACTTTTTCAGAAAGGACTCCCCTTGAGGCTGTAGTTTAAATCTAGATGCTTTTGTGTTATGGGTAAACACTCTCATACATTTCTCAGAAAAATGCGGTATCAGAGAGTGTATAGCAAGACCCCCTGCCTGTTTTGGAAGCCAATTGGAAGGATCCTATCTAATTGTATTATATTGTATTTTCTTATTTATTTATTTATTCATTTATTTTGGAGACTTGGAATCAAACTCAAAACCTTGCACTTGCCAGGAAGGCACTGTGCTGCTGAGCTACATCCCCGGTCCCCCTAAGTTTAAAAGAATGCAAATTAGGAGAATCTGTGTATCTTATGTAGGAACAGATAAAAATATCCCAGAAAAGGCTGCCAGCAAGGAAAACAAGTGGATTCTAAGAATATGGAATGAGGAAAAAAATTCATCCTGAGAAGAAGGGGCAGACAAGTCCTGAATGCAGATGTGGGAACAAAGGCAGATGAAGGGCTGAGCCTGAGGGTGCTGCACAGGCTTTACAAGTCAGAGCTGCAAAATCTTTGTTCTAAGAGTTTTCACGACTGCTCACTTCTGGCTTTTTACTACCCCATGAGATAAATTTATTAGCATAAGCTTCTCCACTTTAAAACAAAAAGATCAAAACCCAAACAGTCAAAACTCAAAACATGTGAGTAACTTACTGACTACCTTTCCTAGTCAAGCTTTTGTGCTAAGCTCAACACAGCAGGGGTTGAAGCTTACAGTGAATGTTCTTGCAGCTGGGAGGGCAGAAGAGAAAATTCACAATGCACAGTACAGCTCAGGAGGAAAAATATAAACAAAAGGAAATGTAAGTCTGTATCTGTGAAGATAGGGGCAGTTACCTCTGCTCTCAATGGTCAGCTAAATTTTTATTGAGGAGGGTGTCCTTGGACCTCGATGCTGGGTGTGTTCATACATGCAGGGCCACCTCTGGGACCCAGGGAGATGTAAGCAAAGTTTGAACAGTAGCAGGTAGACTGATTTGGGTATCTCAAAGCATGAAGTTGATTTTGATAATTCAGAAATATTGATTCATTATTCACCATAATGGTCTTTAATTCTAGGCTAATGAGTTTGAATTTGATTATTTGGTAGTGAGGAATTAAAGTTTTTAGTCAGAAAAGCATATTTTTTTATTTGTCCTTTAATAATTTTAGTCCTGATCTGGGCGTGGTCATGCGTGCCCGTAATCCCAGCACTTCAGAGGCTGAGGCAGGAGGAGTGCAGTGAGTTCAAAACCAGCCTGGGCTATAAAGTGAGCTCCAGGCCAGCTTGAACTACATAGCAAGACCCTGTCTCTAAAAAACCAAAAAACCAAAACAAAAAAAAAAAATATTAGTCCTTCTTTAAATTGAAGATGAATTAGGGTAAGTCATGAGATTTATTAGAAGGCTGTTACTATGTTATAGTAATCGTATCTTTATTCTGAAGTGTGATACTGTCAATGGGATTAAATAGAGTAAGGCACTGAAAGAGCTGCTGTGTGCCAGTATTTGCATCCATGGTTTTATGGTTTAATGCAGTAGGCAAAACAAAAAAGTAATTAAACCAATATTTGGATTTTCTTTCTCCATTTTGGGCACAAGGATGATTTCAGTCAGTGAGAAAATAGCTGAAAAGCAATTCTGTGGGATAGAGAAATAATTATTAGTCCCATAGCTCTGGTGACCTACATACTATCTGATTCTGAAATAAAGCAGGACATTATTTTTGGTAAATGAAATCTTTCAGTGAAAAAAGTAGTGTCATAAGATAAATGGATAGAAGAATGAAAAGCTGAGTGGAAAAATGAAAGTCTAGATATTGTGATGAAGATCTGGAAGGTTATCTCCATGGACAGATAATTTCCTGCACATTTATCTTCCATCTGGGTGAATGATGAGAGAACTGAGAGACTGTAGAGGGAATTAAAAGCTGGGAGTCATAGTAAATTAGTAGTCTCAGCAGCACAAAAGAGGGGAAAGAGGAAATGTTTGTGCTCAATGCATTGGTGGCTTGCTCTGAAAGAGGGCATCAAGTCAAGGAAGCAGTGATCAGAAACACTTTATCTAAGTTCCTGAACAAATTTATGCCTGTAAATGTATAAAGAAAATACCTTTAAAGCTATTTTCATAGCTTTAAAGGTTACAAAGAATGATAGATATAGGTATAAAGGAGGGTAAAGAAACCATTCTGCCAGTTAGGTACCCTGGGACAACTCAGAGAACTCAGAAATTTTAGTAACAGTGAGAGGCAGGAGGAGTAATGTGGTAAGCAAAATTGAAAATCAAGGACTAAAGAGTATATCAGAGACTAATAATTCTAAGCAGGGGACATGCATAAAACTGTGTATTTGTCTTCTTTACAGGACAGTGGCCCGAGAGTCTAAGCAGGCATCCCAGCATGGGAGGTGAGCCCCTCAACAGCTCAGCATTGCCTCCTTTCACCTTGACAGGACTCCCGGGGCTAGAGACCTCCCAGCACTGGCTATTTTTGCTTCTTGGTGCCCTCTACATTGTCTCCATTGTGGGCAATGCCCTTATCCTTTTCATAGTCAAGGAGGAGCAGAGCTTGCACCAGCCTATGTACTACTTCCTGTCCCTGCTATCAGTTAATGACCTGGGTGTGTCTTTCTCCACTCTGCCCACGGTACTGGCCACATTTTGCTTTCACTTGAGAGAAATCAGTTTTAATTCTTGCATGGCCCAGATGTTCTTTATCCATCTTTTCTCCTTCATGGAATCAGGGATCCTGCTTGTCATGAGCTTTGATCGCTACGTGGCCATCTGTAACCCCCTGCGCTATACCACAGTACTCACTGATGGCCGTGTGGTGCGGATGGGCCTGTCTGTGATTTTCCGCAGTTTTTGCATGGTTTTCCCACTGCCTTTCCTTCTGAAAAGGTTACCCTTCTGCAAGGCTAATGTGCTCTCCCATGCCTATTGCTTGCATCCAGATCTGATCCGCCTGCCCTGTGGTGATATCACCATCAATAATATCTTTGGTCTGTTCATTGTCATCTCTACCTTTGGCCTGGATTCAGCACTCATTCTCCTCTCATACGTGCTCATACTTCGTTCTGTACTGGCCATTGCTTCCCGGGACGAGCGGATGAAGACACTCAACACGTGTGTATCACACATGTGCGCTGTGCTTATCTTCTACGTGCCCATGGTTGGTGTGTCCATGGCTGCTCGCTACGGAAGGCATGCCCCGCGGTATGTGCACACGCTCATGTCCCTTATTTATCTATTTGTACCTCCCATGCTCAATCCTGTCATCTATTCCATAAAAACCAAAGAGATTCGTCGGAAGATTTGCAAAATATTGCTGGGAACCAAGTTTTGAGGAGGAGACATGTTGAAAAGTCAAGATCCAGAGGATGTTTTCTCTCGGTCCACAAACATGAGTTTTGAAGACCTGCATTGGCAAGAAATTTTTACTGTTCTTTTGGTCACAAACGTTAACATGAGTTTTCTACCATCAGATGTTTGCAGAAAGCCTGGCAATAGATAAGACCCAAGACAACAGGTTTTGCCAAGGCACAATGGGCCACAATTGAGGGAGCAGATAGTTTCTCTATTTCCTTCTATTTCAGTCCAGAAACAGACATCTTTCTAATCATTCCTCTATTTTGTCATAATATGCTGCTGTTATCTTTGTTTAAAGAGAATCATCATACAAGAAGTTACCTATTACCATGAAAACACGGTCATAATGGGTAAGGCATTTTTTCCCCCAAAATATATACATGTTATATTTGTTGAAATTACACACACACGTACACACACACACATGCACACACACCCCACACACAATAGTTATGCATGCCAAAATTGATTTTACATAGCACATTTTCTCCATCCAGTCTTTAAAATGAGATAAATGTAAGTACATATAAATTGTATTAAATGATCTATCTTTTAAGAATTACTGAAGAGTAGTAAAGTTTATGTTATAATTTAAGCTGTGTATGTGTGTCTGTATATTAACAAATAAGGAAATAATGAAGTTGGAAGACTGTAAAGAAAATGTATTTCATACAATCATGCTTTGTCTAAACTCATGGTCTTGTAGGACTTGTAAGGTTTTTTATGTTAAAAGAAAAAAGTTAAGAAATTAAATATTCAACTAAGGTATTATGAGAGAATAAAAGACTTTATAAAATGATTGAAAGTACTTAAATAAGTAAAATAATTTGAAAGTGAAAAAGAGAAAGTATTTTAAAAATCCTGGTCTTTTAAGAAGCTTGCAAAATCAATGAACCTCTGGAAAGTGTAATCAAAGGGAAAATAAAATTTAGACGTCATATACGTCACCAGGTTGGAGATATTTTAAAAATGACAGTAGAATATTCTAGAAGACACCCCTCCCTGAGACTCAAGGAGTTCAGTGCACATTAAGGACACATCATATTTTTACTCCTCATTTTCCTTATTTCCCACTCACCTGCAGCCAGTGCTGGCCAGAATGTTTTCTCTGTGGTCATAGAGTAATACCAGATAATTAGTTTGAAACAAAGTAATAGAACATTTTACTTATGCCAGTCTGACGTCATTACTGCTAGTCCCATCTTATTTCTTCATTAATTTGGGCTAGACCAGTCATTTAAAATCTCAGATGCTCCTTTTAGCAGCTCCAAATAACAACATCTGTTTATTTTTTAACAGTTTATGAGTGAGATTGATATAAGAAAGCTACACATATTTAACCTGTAGACATTCATTAGTTTGAAGATAAATATACAGCTATAAAACTGTCATCACAATCTAAACAATAAGTGTATCTATTACCTCTAAAATTTCCTTACATACTCATGTTTTTTTTTTTTTATTTTTTTGTTGATGAAAACACAGCAAAGATCTACCCTCTTAAAGACCTGAATGTAGGTCAGCATTAGAGCACTTACTAAGCATGTGCAAAATCCTGGATTGGATTGCTGACACTGGAAAAAAAAAAAGCTCTACCTTCTTAGAAAAATTCCAAGTCTTCAAACAATATTGTTAACTAACTATAGACCCTATGATGTAGAGTAGCTTTCAGTGAGCTTGTGGGTTATAAGGCTGAATTCACATTAACTAAGACAATGACCGTAGATGAGTGATGTTATTCATTCATTTACAACAAGAAGTAAACTATTACATGAACAAAACATCTAACTTATGCCTGGTCAGAGACACACCATAATTACATTTCTGTGGGGCAAACAAAGAAAAAAGAAGCAAAGACACTTAAATAATTCAAAGTTTTCGTGTCTTAATTTCAGATGGATATGTATCAAACTTTGAAAAACCCAATGCATATTAAGCCCCCCTTCTTGGTGGGATTATTATGTCTTCTCCTTATAATTATTTCACTGATTTTCTCCTTCAAATCTTTCTTTTCTTTACTTTCATCTCTTCAACTGGGTAATTTTGAGTGTGTGTGAGAGATATCTGTATATAATCATGAAGTGGAATCCTGAAGTGGAATCTTAGTTTATCCAATACTTTTATGATATGCCAAGTTTCATAATACCTCTGAACCCCAGATATTTAATCTAGAAATACCAAATAGTATACCCTAACCTGTAGGTATTTATAAATATTAAATTTATATGAAGTTATTAATGTTTTATGGCATAGAGAAGATGGTCAATGACTTGTAACTACTTTTCACACCCTATATTTGTAATAAGACTAATTCAGTAAGATTTTAAATGTCTGGGAATCATTATATTTGTATGAATTGTATATTTATTTCTTTCTTATGACCTCTTCTGATCTATACCAAATAATCCTTATAAGACACACCTATTTTTTAAGTTCCCAAATCAGAAGAGCCACTTACCTCCGATACCCTCTCTCCACTCTCACATTCGGATTTACACACAGTCCCACAAACTCACACAGATAAAGATGCTGTAGGCTGATACTAACAAAGGCCTTTAGGGGCAATAAGTCCTGAAAAGTTTTGGTGTTCCTCTATATGAATTTTAAAAGAATTTAAGAAACAAACTCCAAAGCAGGTATAGGGAAGCTTGATAAATTCCTTGTTTTCTGGTGTGGAAGATTCAATGTTTTTAAGAATATCTAATGTAATATAGATTTAATACAAAAACATTGGGTGTGATATGTCTCTGTTAGTCTAAATATGTCTATTTATCTTGACTCTTGACTAAGCCAGGGCTGATTTTAGGCACAATGAGATGGCTTCAGACTTTTTTCCTAGCAAGCACTTGTACCAGTTTTTCTCCCTTTCGTGTTCCGGCCCCAGTGATAGAGGCAGGATGAGAAGTGGGGATAATGAGGGTCTGCAGCAGGATAATTATTTTCTGCCTCCCTGAATTATTTCTCTGTTCATATTTTTAAGCTCTAGCCTCTTAGAACTTGAATTTCTCTGTTTTAAAGTTTTAGTGAGATACAAGATTGATAAAAAACTATTGTACTTTTAAGAACTACTGCTCTGCCTGGAAAGCACAAGGTTGTGAGTTTGATTCCTGGTACCGGAAGAAAAACAAAAACAAACAAACAAACAAAAAAAGAACTACTACTGTTGTAGTTTTAAGTCAGTTTAAATTATAGAAGTTAGGCAGCCTCCAGAGCCCACAAAGCCAACTGGTCCATTCAGTTTCTATTCATGTTCTTTTCTGACAGATGAAAAATCCACAAACTTGGCAGTAGATTTTGTTTTCGTAACCGCTTGCTGTGGGAATGTTGTGGCCCATTTGCCCAGCTCTATAGGAATTAGTATTCCAGTTTACAGGTGAGGACTTTGAAATGTGAGCAAATCAAATAATTTTTTAATGATGCAAATTTTTTTTATTTTAAAGATAAAAGAACCAAAACATATTAACAAACACACAGACATAAACAAAACAACATAAAAACAACAAAAACAATACAGAATTTCTGACAAAGTGATAGGAAATTAAAAATGGTTGTTGTAGTACATATTGTTGTCCTTAAATTGATTACTCAGGTAAACAAATATAGGCATGTAAGATTATCAAACAATTAAACATTAACTGTTCCTTTCAATAAAGCTGTAGAAATTAGCAGTACAATTATCTTAGCTATCTTGTGCATACATATATACATATTTTCCCATTCTTCCTTTCTTTTCTCTTTTCCTTCATCCCAGTCATTCTTTCCTTTTGAGCAGTTTCTTTTCTTTTCACAGTATCTATTGTACCTTTTAGATTTTATTTACTCTTTCAGGTTCTTACACTAGGGAGACAATACAATGTTTACACATGCAGGTCTGATTTATTTCACTTATGAGTATGGTCTCTAGTTGCATAATGATGCAACCTTACAGAACAAACTTGTTTTAAATCTAGGTCTGGCCGTAAGGTGACAAATTTTCTCAGTTATCCAAGACAGAGAAGCTTTCCCTGGTGCATGACTGTCAGGGCTAGCATCCAGGCAGACCGGGATGTTCACCATATTTGCTGGATCTTGGTAACTGTCCCCTTGGGGGTTACATTATTTTATTTCTTGAAATCTGTTTAGAGCTGTGGTGTGGTTAATGGAAAGGCTCCTAATTTGGGGATTAATGAGAATCCATGAGTATGATATTCAGTCAAACTGTTATTATTTTACTGAATACATTCTTTCTGGGTCTCATTTCTACATAATGAGAAGCACAGTGTGCTGATTATTCAAAGAAATCACAGTTCTCTTCCAGTTCTTAATTTCCTTGAAATCTCTAAGGAGAAAAAATGACAGAGCACAGAGAAGTCATTCACTTGAGATTTTTCATGTTTCCTGTTGTCCAACCAAGGCTTTCACTCATGCACTTATCCAGACCCAAGCAGACTCAAGGGAGTCTTTTTACTGTAAGTACTGGCGATCAAATCCAGTGTCTTACACACACTAGGCAAGTGCCTGGCCACTGTGATACATCTATATTGTGCCAAGGGACACTTCATAGGCAGAATTATAGAGCTCAGAGCAGGGAGTAGATGGAGGCCAGCAGTAAGGCCGTATGAGGAATGAGTTTCTCCCCTCAGTGAATGAACACACACCTCTCTCCTCTCTTCCATCAAAGATATCTTGAGGAGGTAAGTTGAAATTTCAGCTCTTCCTTCATCGAGGCCTTAGAAACCCTCCCTATTCATACGTACTTGGGGTACAAAGATTTGAAGGAGAGGCTGTCTGTGATTTAAATTTATCCTTTTTTTTTTTTTTTTTTTGACTTCTCATTTCTACTCCTGTAGTCCCAATTCCATGTAACTCTTGCTACCTGCAGTCCCACCAGGCTGCTGTCATTCTCACAGCTTCTCTCTATGGCCCTTAGTATTTTCAGACCTCAGTCAAAGAAGCAGCTCCGCTTTTGTTTGGTACAAATGATTTCATATGATTAACTCTGGCTCCAATATTCTCATTAGATGGTAGGTCAAATGCTGATACAAAAGAAGAGAGTCTTTGGTTGGGAAACCGAATGTACGAAGATATTTGGAGACAGAGCAGGGAACCTCAGCATCTAAGTAACCTTCCTTGCTAAGCTTTTGGTTGCCATTTATTCAGTATGTGTCTTGCACTAGAGATCTGACTATGCACTTTAAATATTTTACTCTGGATTACTTTTTTCTCTCTTATAAATGTGAAAATAATATATGAGGGAGTTAATTAAATTCATAGCTGGTAGGAGGCAAAAGTGAGATAAAAATCATAGTTATTAGATGAACAATTTTACCTACTTGAATTATTTTATACCTTAAAATGTACATTCTTACATCTTCTTCCTAAAATAATGTATTTAATAAGTATTTTAAAAATTAAAACTGCTATTGGTAATCTGTGAGTCAGTCTGGGGCTTTGTATGCCAATTTCATTGGCAAAGAATTGAAGATAAAATGAGAAGAAAAACAATCATGAGAGCTCATAATGTAGCATGAGAGGAAGATACTATTCAAATAACCAAGAATATGTAAGTCACGATAATTCTAATATGTGACAAAAACAGTGAAAAAATTATGTAAGAACATACAGCAGGCATACAAACATGAGAAGCAGTCAGATTAAAATTGGAATAGGACAAGTTCCAGGATAGTGTTTCTGCTGCTATGTGCTGTGGTAAAGATTTGAGTTTTTACTTGAATTTTTATTTTTAAAGGTGAGTTAAGCTATTGAAAGATTTTTAGTAAAAGTGTAATATCCTTTTATTCATACTGTTATTAATTATTTTGCTGCTTTGTATAGAATGGAGTAGAAAGAGTAATGATATTAAGCCAGATGGTCAGTAAGGAAGATCCTCCTAACATACTGGTTAAATACACTTAAGGATGAGTTAGCATTGGAAGTGAGCTGAGGAAGAAAAGCTAGGATTGGTTATGTAGTGGAAAAGTTACACTAGATCAACTGATTCTGTGAATGCCTTCTAGACTTTTCTCATATGAGCATATGGGTAGATGCGGAAGGAGTTTAACAGAAGGATAAATATTGGAAAGGATCGAGTATGTGGATGGACAAAAAGTTCAACTTTACATATATTACGTTTGATGTGCAAATAAACTGTTACGATTAACTGGGCATTGATACATAAATCAATATCTAGAAGAAAAGCCTAGTGATCTATGTTGGAGTCACTGCTATACAGAAGATAAATAAAGTAGATGTTATAATTAGAAAATAATTTTGAGAATATTAGTTGTGAAAGGGAGCAGAGAAGGGCATGCTTCCTTAAAGAACATGAAAGTGATGCGTTTGTTATTCTGTGTCTTTAATTAGTAAAGCTCCTGAAGTTGAACTTCAGTGAAGAATTTGGTGGGAGTGTGGGGCATATTTGAATGTTGACAGCAGTGATCTAAATGCCTGATTCTCAAACCTGGCTGCTTATTAGAACTGTTTACTAGAGTACAAAACTACTGATTCCTCAGTTATATCTGCAGAAATTCAGATTTAACTAGCATGGGTGTGGCCAGAGCGAAGTGCTTTATAAAAAGCCCTGAAGTGAATATGACATACAGTGCCCTTTGAAAATCTTGTATCTAGAGGTGAGAGTAGAAGGGGAGAGAAAGAGAAAGAGGGA